GTAGCCAGGTTCCTGCATCACAATTTCATTTTCCTAGCTAGTGATGCTGTTTATTATAATTTGAAGTCTGTTTAAAATCACCTATTTTTCAGTACGATCGTCGAGATCGAATGGTTCAGCTGTAACAGGCGACCATATGTTTCAAATCATAATGCAATCCCTCTCGTTTAAGTAACAGCGCTCGATCTCGATCTCAACGATCTTACGCAAAAACAGGGGACTGTGAACAGTCTATCAAAATGAAAGATGCAAACCATCGTACAGTGTTTAAGGAGCTGTATGTGTACAGTAAGGTCTTTTGTAGGTTATGCTATAGTCAAGATGAAGACCAGCAGTACGTGGTCGAAACTGCTCGATAAACGGGCCTATATTTATCTTGAGATTGACTATTTTACTCAATGTTGCGTATCAATGGAAATCGTTGTCAATGTAAATACCCTCTTGTGTTAATTTATGTTACTCCTCTGATGAACTCTCGCTCCTGACTCATAGTCCCGAGGGTAACCCGAAACAAGGTGAGTTGAGTGTATTGACCACTCCAGAAATACCATAACATACCCTAATGTTCATTGTTTTTCACCCCAAATTTCTTGGGGCCATTTTAACTCCCAAGAGAAACTGAAGACAATGCTTATGCAAAATTTTGGGGCGACAATCAAAAAGCATTATGGTATGTTATGGTATTTTCTGGAGTGGCCAATTACGAACTTTCGCCTTTTAGGACACACAATCGTGATCCCGAGGGTCATCCGAAATAAAGGAAGTTGACTGTATTACGGCAAGAGAAAATGATCTAAGAGAGCGAATCCCCTATACATGGCCCTCTTCTCATGAAAATTATTTTCAATCTATTCTTGGTTCTGTGTTATACTGCTTGGTTATTTTAAGGACGCCACCTTATTGGTCGGTTAGAGTGGCGTCATGTAATTTTAAACTTGGCGGATAATTCATTTCACTGCCGATCACGCACAGCAAGCGATATGACGTGCAAACTTGGTATTACTTTCGTCGACGAGTCAAAAGATTTATGCGTGGAATAATCTGGCCAGAGTAGTTGACGAAGAGCAAAGCGGTCCTGGCTTGTGGGAGGTCGCCGGAGAAAGCGGTTCCGACTCGGCGAAAACTGCTTACCATTGAGGTCTTCGCTACATCAATATATAGACAACCAACATCCTATTGCAAAAAACGACAACTGTCTCTTCCGGCGACATCCACGCAAACCCGCGAGCTGTGATACCGTCGTTTGGATCCAACCGTGGACACGTAACGAGAAAATAGGTTCAAAGTGGGTTCAAACATGAATGTTTGGCCGCCAAACATTTGAATTTTGAAAGGACGCTAGACAAATGTGGGCACACCGCTCACTATAAAAGAATTGACCGAAACCGGACACCGCGCATCAAAACTCTCTGGCATCCGGTATCCAGGTTAGCGACTGTTAAACAGCTTGAAGCATCTGACCTGATTTGTGTCTGCAAAGCGAAATATTCATCGCAAGTATTAGACGTTAAGAAGAAACTCTCAAGAATAATTTTTGAAAGTAAATGTACTGTTTCTGAACGAAAAGTATTCCTGGAAAAAGAGAAAAAATATCTCGCACATTTGCTTAAACAATTGAAGCCAGTCACTCATTAAAGGTTTCGTGTTTCGAACGTGATAACTTTTGCCTCTGGCTTTCACAGTGTGTCAAAATTCAATATTCGTTACTTTAAATGAGGCTACCAGCCAATCTCAATCTTTAATCTCAAAGTGAAATTTTGACTCCAATACTGCAATCCCTTTGTAAATGAAATTCATTCCTAAATTATGAGCGGAGAGCGCTGATCAAAAACATGTCAACAATAGGAGCCGATTAGGATCAGCTCCTGGCGCCAATTACTATAATCGCTGTCAAACTTCAAATGTTTGGCGGCAAAACATGTCACGTTCACGTGAAAGTAGACCGCGCGGGTCACGGAAACAACAGACAAAAATAACCTTCGCAGCACGCGCGCGAACTCTAAATAGATTTAAAAAAATTATCATGGGGCATAGGGATTCGCTCTCTTAGCTCATTCTCTCTTGATTACGGACTCTGGCTATTAAGGACGTAAACTTGCGGTTTCGAGGGTCTCCGCAATAACGGGAGTAGTTAGCCTGTGGTTCATTAAAAATTCGAACACGTGACTTTGTTTCTATTGTCTATCCTGCGCAGCGTGCTCGTGTGACCAACACAAGTGACCAAGGGGAGAAAACAAGGGCGACATTGAGAATACACCCTTAAGTTGATTTATCTTTATATCATATAATATAAATGAAAACAGACTCAAACTTGAACAAAATGTGTTATATTTCTCTTATAGAAAAGCTAATTACAAGTTTTCGCCTAAAAAAAATTAAGATTGGCCAGGTTTTGGGAAGGGTATTCGGCCATGAATCTTTCACATGAAATTGCTACAGCTCCGTGCAAGTTCATAAATCGTTTTCAAATGAATTGTCTCGTATCATGGCCCTACCGATCAAATTTTCTGTAAATAACTCATCTATAAATGCAAACGTAGTTTAGTATTACTTCCATATAAATAGTACCTGGAAACGAACAGAATAATTATGAGCATGTCCAAATCGGATATTGAGTATACTTTACACTATATTTATCCCAGATTGGGGTATCTTGAGAGATCTTGATTATTTTCGCTCTGACTTTTTAGTAGTACGATAACTGCATATGTTTTAATCTACATGTCCTACCTAACTTGGCCGACCCAAAATATTAAGATCAGCATCTCATTTCTAAACTGATTTTTCGCTGTACACGTTAAAAGCAATAACAAATGAAATCTATGAGCTTTCATAAAACTGGAAGTCAATGATTTAATACCTATTCTAGCTGGGGAGGTTCAGGCGAAAGCAACTCATCACATGGTCCGTTCAAGAGCGATTGGTTGTAGAGCGGATTGTTAGAGGGGCTTACTGTCATGCATCTGCTATCTTTTTAAAAAGATAAAACATTTGTTTATATTAAAGATGAAACAACAACAACATGATATTAATTATGAGGAGGACTCGGAAAAAAATCCGAGTCCCAGATGGGATTTGAACCCACGACCCTCCGTGATCTAGTCGGATGCTCTAACCACTTGAGCTACTGGAGACTCTATGGTGAGCAAGGGCCAATTTGTGGGTCTCGACTGGAACCGCATCACGCGGCTACACAGCCAAGTAATGATAGGCACACAAGAAGTGAAGAACTCACTAACAGCATCGCGCTGTCACCTTAAAGCATATCAAAGATGCGGCCAACCAACCTCCAAAGTGAGTATATT